GAGGAGTTAATCCAGCAATCTGTGGACGTGGAGAATGTCCAGCCACCGTCGGCCAAAGAGAAAATTTTGACATTGTTCGATGAACCCTTCTTGCCGTCCGACTTGGAACACATGTCGGTCGATGAGCATTCCGACGAGTTGCCTTTGAGGGACGTCAACCTATACAGTTTACAATCGTGTTCGGCGTCTGTCTCTTCACACGCGTTTTTTTCTTCACGATATAAAACGGTGTGGTGTGTGGTACATTTTGTTTTGTAAAATACTGTGGAGGTAGTTCCTGGATGATGGTATGAAAAGGGAATTGTGCTTGTTTAAAATCGTCCAAAATTAAAGATATAAAAAGAGCAATATTTCATTAAGTATGACCAAATAAGCACGATTTTTCGTTTTTTGAAGCACGTTGTTTGTGTAGTAATATCGGTAAGCATTATGGCAATCTATGTATATTTTGTATTTTAAATTAAATATTATAAATATATGATGAAATGTTGTCCCTCATCATAAATCAAATATATTTGTTACCAATTTTAGAAATATTTTATTTTTGATTATTTACACATAGGAAGTTGTTTTTAACACAACTTAGGCTATTAAATATAACATTTTGTAGACCTATACTTACATTATAGTTTCATATGTTATAGAATTATAGAAAAAAATACTCTACTAAATGTAAAGTAAACTTTACTAGCATCTAGTTGTGCCTTAATGGGCTTAATGTCATATTTGTGTGATATTTATCTGTGTTTTCAACTTATTTAAATAAGTGCAATTTTGAAAATTTAATTTCGTTCTTTTAGTTAAACAGTTTTAACATAATCAAACAGTTTATTTTCTAAGTACATTGTATCTTGTTACACTAAATTTATTACATTAATTTTTTTCTATAATCCCCATTAGAAATCACCAATTTTTATTAAAATTTAACAATTTTATTTAAAAAATGTGGGTAAGTTAGTCACTCTGTTGTACAGTAAGTTCGGAGTAGTCAGTAGATATTACTATAATGTATTAAATTTGAGTTAATGATAAATCATTGAAATCGAAAAAATAATTTTTAGCGAAGGGAGTGGTTTAATTTCTATTTGTTGGTTACCTTAAAGTATATCAATTTATAATTTCTTTATTTGATACATTAATTAATTAATATAATTTATTCGATAAAACCCCCTGATAATTAAGGCCGTTTTTAAGTTACACTGTTTGTCCTAAATATAATGCTTATAATAGCTCAATGAATATTTGGGTCTAAACGATGAATGCAATGTCTTTATTGTTTACATAAATTAATATTAAATAATTTTATTGCATAAAACAACAAATTATTTTAATAAAAATTGTTGTTTCAAATATCATAAAATAATTGTACAAAATCTTAATTATATTATTTGGCACTGCAACAATAATTTCCAACTTATACTATTGAAATTTATGTAAATTAAAATTGTATTATTTTATCATAATTTCCACTGTTTAACTACTTAATATTCATCTTATACATATATGCAATGTATTCATTTTAATCTAAGTTTTAACCTAACAGTTTTTAAAAAAATGTTCATATTTTTGTAAGCTCAAGCTAAATTTATATATATATATATATATTATTATTTACCTAGTGAAAAATGTTAATATAATAAATATAATTTTTAATGTTCTAGACAGTTTTCCAGAAGCCCCAAAAAAATGTGAGATGGCAAAGAGTAAATCTGACCTTTCTTCAATAGAAAAAGATAAATTTAAACAAAAAAAAAATTAGAAGACAAAATAGTTTGTTTAAGTTTATAATCAACTATCAAGTATGTTTAGTCAAGGTACAGTTGGACCAGTTGGTATAATTTTCAAAAAATAAGCATTTTTAACAATTGTATTTCTATAATTTGTATTTATTGATATTAATTTATAATGCTACCATCATATATTATAGTTTTATCAAGTATTTTTGTTTATAGATAGTGATCAATCTGACAAATCTGACATGAACGAAAATTCAATACCATTTTATTATTCTGCAGGCAAGTGGTTTTATTTTATATTTTATAGATTTGTAGTGTATTATTATAGCATAATTTTTCATGTTTTATTAGATTCTGCTTCTAGTTCTACTAAAGACATAGTAGCCAACAACAGAAACATAATCTTTTCAAGATAGAATATTGATTTTCAACGTCGACCTGATGGTTGGTCGCCATTCAAGTCTCTAAAAGAGAAAATAAGTTACCAGGTTGGTAAATAAATTACATTTTGTCTATAAATAACATTGATAAAGTTAAATATTTTATGTATAGACAAAATGAGACTGCAGCTAAATTTAATGATGATATTGCTACATCGTCTAAAGCAGTAACTCATACTTATAATGTCACACCTTTAAAAACTATGAACAAGTCGACTGCAAAAATGCTGATTAGTGGTATTTACAATTTCTATTAATAAATTACAAATTATAATTTGTTACTATAACTTAATTTAATTTACATCATGTAATTTTTTTTTTTAGGAAACAAATCTGATAACGGCAGTGTTATTACGTCACCATTAAAAACATCAAAATATACATCTTCATCTCAGTCGAAAGGCAGTGCAAAAATAAAAGTTTAATTTCTTTTTCTTTAAATTTGTATTGGACTATATTTCATGTTTAATAATCAAATATCTACATTTTAACATGTAAAAAGGAGCCTATTTAATAATGTTCATAATTGTCCAAAGGGCAAAGGTACATAAGAGTGATTCAAGTTTAACCGGCTGTACACCAAACAATTCTATTATAAATGGTAATTATTATAATTAAAATTTTTAGTATTCACAAATACATTTTTATTTGTTTTACATTTATCATAATTATTGAGTTTTCCTAATTGTTTTGTTTGTTTTATTGAAATAGCTTATGTTTTCAAAATGTATTAATTATTAACCAATATTCATTAATATATGAACACTGAACAGTATAATAATGAAACATTCATTTTTTACAGGAAATTAACAATCTTTTGAATTGTGTCTTTGTATAATATATGTAATAACTAATAAGTAAAGTAAAAAAAAAGTAAAAAGTTATGGTAACCAATTTACGTGTTCTGCTATAAATTCTATCTAGTTATCTTTTATACCAAATCAGGGACGCCCGGAAGGGGGGGGGGGCAGTGTGGGCCATTACCCCTAAAATTAGAAGTTTTTTTACATAAAGCTGGTCTAAGGTATTTAGCGACTATGCGACAATCCTTGTATCTAACAAGTCATATAAAAGCAGCCTGTCGTCGACGGAAATAGAAACCTTTTGACAGACATTATTATTATTATTACATTTATCGTATTCTGGGTAATGTATTCAGCTATCAAGGGTAGAAATGTGCAATTACTATATATAAATCATTATCAAACGGTTAACGAAATATTGTGTTTTCCAAGTCCACGTATTGTTGAGTGTTGACTGTTGTTAGCGTTGTTGCCCTACAATTTACAAATTAACCAATTTTTAAGAGTTTAAAGTTAAAATAATAAAAAAATTCGTTAAGAACTGCAAATATGGATTCAGTTCCTAAAGAAGAAAATGAGGACACTTAACTCCTATTTTTCAAATGATAAAACAAAAAAAGTAAGCTCTTATATTGGATTATTTATATATAATTTCTTGCTAATATTTTATTAAAATTACATTCTACCATCTTAACAAATTTAATGTTTTTGGGAGTTAAATTAATTACTTTCAAGCTCAAAGACGGCAAATGCGTCTTGAGAATAAAAAATAATAAAAATTTGAAAATATACCTAACGTTAAAAACTGCAGTCTACAATAAAAGTATTTCTAAAATCATAGCATTATTTACAATAATTAAATAATGGTAAAATAAATATATATAAGGATAACCTGCAGCTGGTTAAAAAAATTAAAAAATGGTTTTTAAGTCATACAGAATTCAATTTTAAAAATTAAATTGGGAGGGGGGACATGGGCGCCCAAAGGCAAATGCGTTTTGAGAATCAAAAAAAAAAATATATATGTATAACAATTAGAAAGAATTCAATTCTAAAATAAAAATGGGAAGTCGGGCATGCGCGCCCGAGGGCAAATGCATTTTGAGAATCAAAAAAAATAAAAATATGAAATAATTAAATACAATTCAATTTTAAAAATAAAAATGGGAAGAGGAGTTTGGGCGCCCGCAGGCAAATGCATTTTAAGAATCAAAAAAAATAAAAATATGAAAAAAGTTGCATTAAAAACAAACGTTAAACACTACAGTCTATAATATCAGTATGCCTAAATTCATAGCGTTATTTACAATTATTATATCATGAGAAAATGAATATTTTAAGTTGAACAAGAGTTAAGTTATAGAAAAAAAAATTTGAAGGGGGACACGGGCGCCCGTGGGCAAATAGATTTTGAGAATAAAAAAAAAAAATTTATGGATAAAAGTGAAAAAATATGGGCAGAGTTTTATCAACTTTATCTCAGTACAATAAAATAATGTGTTGATTGAATGAAAGTTGTTATTGATACAAGAAATTAAAGTGAAAGATTTCTAATTTCTCTTTCACGTTAAAGCTATTTTTTGCTTAAATAATTTAATGTTGAATTAATATTATATTGTGTTTCAAACTGTATCTATCATACATTTTGAAAAAGTATACAAAAAAATCAACCACAATAATATTTTTATTTTTGTTTTGTTCTTAGTAAATGTGTTTTTAAAAAAATAGATTAAGTGCAATGTGGAAAGAAGTGAGTAGAAAAAATATTTTGAATTCTAAGACAATATTATTTTAATTCACCAAACCATATTTAAAATTAAAACTTATGAATAAATAAATACTGAAACCTTTCAATAACTCTTCATACCGTCAACCCTTATTATTTCTTAATAATTATTTTGTTATTTTTTTGATATATCAGACTTTTTAAATCAGTTTTAATAATTGTTTGTGATAAACAAATCACTAATAAGTGTTGACTGTATTTAAGTTATTATTAATTATAAATACTGGTACAACGATAGCCGACTGGCTTTAAAACTATGAATACAAATTATGGTATTTAAAATTATGTTCTTATTTCTCTTGGTAATATTTAAACATTTTCTTTCATTGTTATGCTTATACAATATCGAATACCTTGGTAGTTAGTAGGAAAAGATCATTGCAATGCAATCGACCCGGGATGATAGTATACTACCGCTAGCCTACTATCATCACCACAGCTTCAACTATCCATAGCCCTTAGGCGTACTAACCTTTTCATGACTTATTTAACCCTCTGTTTTAACAACATAGTCGCGCGAGTTGGGCAGTGTGGGGGGTGCTAGTTAAGTCACCCCCGTTTGGCGCGCGACTAACAGAGGGTTAAGTGGGACCCTTAGAATAAAAAGATCCTTCTTTGATTTTCTATTTTTGTGTCCGCTTATCAAGTTGAACCTTTTTTTTTATTTCATAATGTACACAGCCAAAGCAATGGCAATAACATTTGCCCTAGACCTTATTAAAACAAATTGCATACATAAAGCAGTAATCCTTAGCGACTCACTTAGTACCTCGAGGAGTATTGAAAACATCTCCAATCCAAATGAGATCGCAAAGAAAAATCCAGAACCAGATCTACAACCTTACACACACCGGCTACTCAATCGCCTTATATGGACACCCAGTCACAATCAAATTCCGGGAAACGAAATTTCCAACGAAAAAGCACGCCAAGTAATAACCTCTACTAATGCCATTAGACTTAATTATTTTACCCTACGCGACGCCAAATTCATAACCAGAATTATATCAAACAACATATGTCAACGGGCATGGAAACAATGTACCTCAAAATTAAACCTAATTAAAAATACCATCCACACATAGCCCTCTCCACCAGACTTCTCAAGAAAAATTGAAACCGCGATCAATAGAATTCGTATTTTGATTACATTGATTACACACACCAGTATCTGATGAAGTAGGAAGACCCACCCCTTTGTGCCAGCTGCGGTATTCCCCTCTCAATTAAACACACTTTTAATGAATGCCTTTCATATGAAACGGAGAGACAAGGAGCAGACATCTCAAACATTTTATCAGAAGCCCTCCACCCGGACAACATAAAACACGTTATAACATTTATCTTTAAATCAAACCTTATTTATAATATTTAGGCTGGTGAAGTGGCTGAGTCAACCAGTGGCGTATATAGGGGGGAGGCCCCCTAGGCCAGAGCCCATAGTGAAATTGCAGGTTCAATTAAAGCATTGCATGTATATTTACACTGTTAACAGTTTTTCACCATGATTAAGTTAGCCGGTTGATTAAAATCATTTTTGAGTAATCTACAAGGAAATGTTAGATATATTGACGGGACTTGCTTTAATGACTTATTGACTTTGATGTTAAATTCATAGTAAGATAACATTAAAATATACAAACGACACTGTCAATATTTTTAAAAAAAGAAACAAAAAATTAATTTTACATAATAATTATAAAATTGAATTGCGCAATTTTTATTTGAACTGTATAATACGCCATAATTCTTAATTATATAACAGCTGCTCCCTTAAAAATGTATAATTATGGCTATGCTGTTTGACTAGTGATAATTGATAAATCGGCCCATAGTGAAAATAATTCGTATATACGCCACAGTCAACCATGTAATGAGATAAAACAGAGCGACCAAGTACGTGGCGCACTTTAGTTTTATTCATCAACAACGACAAATATCGACCGCCGCCTCGCGAGACCAATGTATCAACTGCAAGCGATTGCCGTACGAGAATCCCGATAGCGCCGACCGACGCATGATTATCCGAGCGCGCACCACCCGCAAGAAAACTGAGTTTTCCACACGAAAGCTATACAACACAAGTTTGAGGATTGTATATACAGAATCAGGCTCTTATAAACTATATTACTATAAGTTTGTTACTCTCAAATACGTAGCGCCCACAAGAAGCCAACAGAACGAGGAAAAGCATTACACGATATTTCAATCGGACCGGCAAGCATCGAACCACAGAAATACATTCCGCTCGCCGCCTCATCGGCACACTCATGACTAAATGGCCATGGTTTTGAACATGGTTTAGATAACTGTTAACTGATAAATCGAAGTGATAATATTTACTGCCAGTGACGGCCATAACGCCTGCGTATCACAAAATTGAGATCATACCTAGTTATTTAGCCACGGGCACACTTATATTAGAGGAAGGAAAAATAGACACCCGTCTCAAAATAAATTTCGGTTTGGCTACGTGGCCCCCTCTGATGACAATTGATTCTTAGTTCTTACTACGCTGACTGAATAACAGTGGGTACTAGGAGTAGGGACTGTTCAAAAGGAAAATGCATATATAAATAACTAATAGTAAACTCTTCTGGCGCAGCAAGTGACAATTGTTATTTGTTTTAACTAAAATCAAATGAACAAAGTATGTCAAGAATAAGTCGGGCATCAATATTTCCTTTACCTATGACTTATACTCTCTCCGCTGAGGATAAGGACTGGTGAGCCGGACGATACCAATATCATACAACAATATAGAAGCGGCTCTCGATGAGCTAATTGGGGCTTGTTTACCTATGATCTGAATTCTGAACCTCCGAAAATCACGGAAATGTTTTCCAATATTCTGTTGAATCCAAAGTGGTAAATGTTTGCTGCCTCGTAGGCTGGGTACGCTGCACGGGGTCGGCTTGTTTACCATTCAGAATTCGTTTACTTTGGTAAATTTTCAAGGCTACAATCGCCCGATCCGATCAATTCACGGAGTGACAAAAAAACAGAAGAAGATGACGGATTATTTTGTTTAATATTTTTAGAATGGTATTCTTTATGTTATTACATATGTATTATATATTATTAGTATTCATTATTATTTATTATTATTCTATTATTATTCTATTTATTATGTTTGTCTGAAAATTACGTTGCAAAATATAAAGGTTTATTGAAAAATTGTTTTGTATTATTGTATTTCTGTTAACCGTCTATTCGATTAACCGTCATTGTCCCGGTCCCGACATTGACGGTTAATCGAGTTTCTACTGTAGTTAGTATTAATATTTTATACGCATGTGTTGGCCCCGTGTTACAAGTGCTCATTAATATCAGCAGATCTCATTTAGCAATGAAAGTTTTAATATTAGAGTGATTATTATTATTTGGAATCAACGAAGATGAATGATAACTGCTAACTAAAATTTGATATTATGTTTCATACTTGTAAGACGCATTTGAACAATTGGAGACAATACATTCAGATGAAACGTCTTTCTTAAAGCAACATATTTTTACTAATTATTTAAGCTTCATATGTTTTGTAAAAATTCTAGGAAGATGTCTAGATTTGAAGCAACTAAATAACGTATTGAAATAATTTTATTTTGGAATTATTTGAGAATTATCTGGATGATAAACTTTCTCCCCTTCCTCTGCCAATAACCGGCACCAATAAAATAATCGTAATTTTAAGCGGTTCTATTAAATCCATAAATATTATAACAATTTAGATTTTTTTTTGCCTAAAGTATCGGAAATTATGACAGTTAGCATTTCTTGCAGGGGTCACGGTTGTGTTTGAGTACACGTGTATATGTGGAGCTTGGATTCGTCACTAAACATCCATGTGGTCACCCATCCGGATGCTAGCTACGCCGGCCGATGATTGACACCCATTAGGGACTTCCGCCAATCACCGCACCACACCAAGCCCCAATTGCAGCATTGTTTTTATTTTGTATTAATTGTATATATAACATATTATTTTGTGTGCCAATTTGATTGTAAATAAACCGCGCACTATGACTAACAGCATCTTTTGTAGGAGTTATGGCTGAGTTCGAGTAACCTGTGTGTATGTAGAGCTAGGATTCGTCACTAAACATTCAGGTGGTCACCCGTCCGGATGCTAGCCACGCCGCAGATGATTGACACCCATTAGGGACTTCAGCCAATTACCTCGCCACACCAAGCCACAACTGTATTATTATTGTTTTGTATTAGTTATTAATGCATATTATTATTTATATTATTATATTTCTTATTGCTACGTGAGGAATTGGCTTACGAATAGTGATTCAACCATGTCACAGGAAATTGACATACAGATACTTTAACATAATTTATTACATTGGCAAAAAAGTATAATTACTTACATCTATTATACTCCAATTTCAGGTTTATTTATTTTTTGTTTTATTTAGATAATAATTAGTAATTACAATACGTATTTTACTAGAAATATTAATTTAATATAAGTTCACGTGATCATTTCATATAATTTTTAACAGAAATTATTGTAATCATTTCATACTATTATTGTCTTTCATTAATTTTGTGTATCAACTTTAGTAGGTCAAAAATCTAAAATACTCCCCATCGACCCCATCCAACAACAAAAAGTAAATTTGACAATACTTAACATACATTTAAATGACTAAAGTCATACTTTAATAGGAAATTCCTCACCTCCCCACATAGTACTTCACTCCAATATTAAAGATTTGGAATAGTTAAATACGTAAATGTTACAATTAGTTGCTTCCAATCTTGTAACACCATTTTTTTAGGGCCTAACCACAGTTCTTACTACAAGACTAGTTACACTCAAACATCAAGATCAAGAAGCCAGTTTGGAAGAAAAAATTATACAGGGTGACAGTTCAAACGATGCACTAGTGGTTGCGCATACCGTGGATGCCGCCGATGCCGATTATCAAGTGCCACTGGCGACAGCAATAATAAAGATATCAAGTTCTGCCCGCAAAAATATGCACGGCCGGGCATTACTAGATAACGGGTCTAAAAGTAATTTTATTACAAATAATTTGATTCATAAACTCGGTCTCAATCGCCACAAAGTAAATATACCACAGATATCTATATTATACTAATAATATAGATATCTGTGAAATATACCGATATCTGGAATAAGTGAGTCAAAGAACAATATTAAGTACAAAGTAACAGCTGTTGTGCTATCATTAAATAGTTCGAACGTAACGACAATCAAGTTTCAAGTGTTATCAAAAATAACAGGTTCATTACCACCCATGCCTATACACATTGTAAGCATTTCCAACCACATAATTGTCGCAGACCCTTCATTTACGTATCCGGGAAATATTGACGTTCTTATCGGAGGTGATACTTATTGGGGCATAATGTGTGATGAAAGGTTAAAAACCTGCAGAGACTTAATTTTGTCGAAGTTTTGTCTACGATTACCCATCCGAACAACGTTTTTTGTAAATACGGACAGTCTTTAGTTTTTAACTTCTCATCACACATTATGCCCCAATAAGATATCTTTAAATAGTTCGTACGTAACGACAATCGAGTTGCCGTATTTACACGGATGGGTACAAACACAGAATCCCGAATCATACATGAAGTATAAAATGTTTACGAGAAAGTACGAAAGTCTCAATCATATGGAATGTGTTTATGATACCCGCGAAGAAAAGCAGTTAATCGATCACACGAAATGTTTTATTTAGCGTACTCGTGTGTGATTAACGACCGTAGTAGAACGATATTTGCGTATTTCCGTCTTTGCACGGATGAGTAGTCGTAGCCAAAACTTCCACAAAATGAAGTACCAGAAAATTAAATTCGTGTTTTAACAACTCAAAATCAATACCAATTGTTATATAACAAAATAGAGTTATTTTGGAAAATGTAAGAACCATCTTCGAAGCATAGTTTCACTGACGATGAAAGATAGTGTATAAAACATTTTAACGATAACCTCACCAAAAATGAGAATGGCAGATTCATAGTTAAACTACCATTGTAAGCATTCCCGACCACATTAAGGTCGCATACCCTTCATTTACGTATCCGGGCAATATTGACGTTCTTATAAATAACATTTGTAATATATGACAAAATAGATTTATTTCGGAAAATGTAAGAACCATCGTCGAAGCATAATTTCACTGACGAAGAAAGATAGTGTATAAAACATTTTAACGATAATCTCAACCTAACGAATACCTCGCTAAAAATGTGGATGCCAGATTTATAGTCAAACTACCATTCAAAGAAAATTGTCATCAGCTGGTTAATTCATACACCTCAGCTCAACGAAGATTTATATTATTAAACAAACGGTTAACAAAGAATCCCGAATTATACATTAAGTTTATAATGTTTACGAGAAAGTACGAAAGTCTCAATCATATGGAATGTGTTTAGGATACCGGCGAAAATAAGCAGTCAATCGATGACACGAAATGTTTTATCCACCGCACTCGTGTCTCTTATGTAATAAACAACTTTAGTAGAACGACAAAGTTACGCGTCGTGTTTGACGGACCGGCAAAAACTAATGGTGGTGTGTCAAACATTGTCCGTTGGCAAACGTATATTAATACCGAACAACCATGGTTTGACATAGAAATACGTCTTTTATGACGTCTTTTCTTACTTTTTTGTTCAACTTGATGACACTATTGAGAGGATGTCTACGCACTATTTGTTTGCTCTTTATGTCCTACGCACAACAAAGCAATTGTTGTGCGTGGGATACAGAGAGCAAACAAACAGTGCTCTGACATCCTCTACTGATCTTTTTATTCTATCCCATAAGTCAAGGTTTTCAACCTGTCAACTAGGTAGTTTTCAGCTGATTGGTCTAGTGGCTATAATTGCAAATTCAAGAACCTTTCCTACGTATTCGACATTGTTAACCTAACTATTCTACCTCCACACTTCCTATTCTCCCTTACTAAAAGTCTCACTCGCTCTCCCTTCTCCCCCTCCTCCATCACTACATTACCCTTTTATCACTCAGTCTTTCTCTCTCTCTATTCTACACTTTTTCCACCTCACTACCTCTCTCTCTATCACTCTCTCTCACTCTCGCTCAGACACAGTCTCTATAGTACCTACAGGTCATCGTACCTGATAATCGGTGAAAATATTTAAATATTACAAAAAAAATTTAAAAAAAATAAATAAATAAATTTCATACCAGACCAATTTCATAATTTTTATCATAATTTTATTGATAGCCGGAATAGCGTTATACCAGTAGTTGCAATACAATTAAATTGAAAAGTTGGAGCAATACAAACGTCAAACTCTAATCATATATTAAATAAATCTACTGAAAAATAAAAAGTACATACCACATGTTTTCTGCTATCCAAGATACAACTAAGACTTTGAAACACTCACGTCAACACATTTCACACTGCATAATATGACATTGTATTCAAAATTGGCAAATTTTCACTGACGGATACCATCTCTGAAAAAAACGCAGCCTATATAGTAAAATGTTCAACAATATACGTTTGAGCTTTTTGTTATTAGAAATTACAGATATTATACAGCTAAAATAATCTCTTTAAGTTCTAGCTTTTATCGTACCTATAATACTTAGTTATTATATGTTAATTTGTGTTTTAACTTTTATATACAAGAACGTATAAGTTTTAAACCTTACGAAAGTCATATTTCTTCACTAGGCACGACACATGTTAGTTATCTACTAGAACTCTGCTGCTGGTTCATTTTTATTTTAATAATAGGATAATACACAGAGACTAGTTACCATTACTGATTAGCAAGTGTGTTTATTTTGTTTGAATATTTTATAAATATCGTTCAAATCAATTATTTTTATTATTAATTAATTTATAATATATTAATTCCTGCAGTATTGTGTTTAAGAAAATGAATAATTATTGTTATAAATTAGAGTTAGCTAATATGTTATGTGAGTACCTATATGTAAAAATTACTTAGTATAATAATAACTACAAGCCTGGACTAGTTAATGAAATTTTTTAACTGAGTTAAGTTAAGTCGATATGAAACATTTCAAAAAGTTTTAAGTTAATAGTTCTCCTAATTTTATTTTTAATTCAGTTAAATTAAAATTGATTAGAAAAATTACAACTGACTTTTTTTTATGTACATAAATAGACAGTTTTCTGATTTTAAACTAATAAAAAGTAAATTTTTATGAAATACTTATGCATCACGAATAATAATAATTTTTACTATATTTATTATGTAATAAATGTTTAGCAATAAAAATCAGTTAATTTAAAAATGTTAAGATATTGAAATTTAAATTGAAAAATCTGGTATGTGGAGGTCACTCTGCTATACATTAGGTTACAAGTGGGTCACTGTAATGGACGGTGTTAAAGTTTGAATTCAATAATACAAAATCATTGTATACGAAAAACGATTCTGAGCGAAGACGGTGTGTTAGTCTATAATATTACTTAATAATTTATATTCGATGATACTATTGCGATCAAAGTAATTTATTTTACTAGTAAGTATTAGTACTACGCATTAGATTAAATTAATTTAAAAAAAAAGTATATTTGAAAATTCATTGAGGGTATAAAATATAATAATATACTTTAAAAGTTTCAAGTACCCACGAATAATATTTTTAATTTACTACAAAATAACATAAATCATTATTCTTGGCAATTTAATCTTTAATTTAGTTCACATTTGAACATAATAAATCTGTAATAATGTTTTTTTGATTATTTATTAACATAATAACTTACTTCCTTGGTACTTTGTTTTGCATTTTCAACCCTTACTTACGAAGTTGAATATTTCAAAAATTTTAAATTATTAAATCATTTGTACATTTCAAATAATTTTGTTAAAATTTAAACTTTAAATGCTTATTAAAAAAATCGTAC